CCTGACATTGTCAGGGAAAGTAAAAGATATAATGAGGACCGGCCCGTGTGTCCCTGCTGGTCTCATACTGTATGTCGTCCTCCCTCTTCACAAGCCAGAATGTCGCAAACCATGAATCGGTGGAGGGCTTAAACACAGTGGTTGTGTTACAGCAAGGCTTTGTGAGAGCACTTCCTCTGCAGCCCATCAGAACTGAGGTGTCTCCTCCCTCTAAATGAGGCTGTTTGGATTGCGGACAGGTAGAAAGACAAGGGTCATTTATATGGGTAAAGTATTTCAATCAAATCTAACAACGTTAGAGTCGGAGTTACATCAGCACACGAGCTACAAAGAAACATGTAGAACAAGTTATCTCTGCTTGTTCCTAATTCGTCTAACTACATGGAATACAGGGTTAGTTTAAGTTTGGGTGGTTGAGTATATGGGGGAGGCGCAGAGTATTTTTTGCCTCTAGAAAAAGGGAGGCTAGCCCCCTGCATACTACAGTACAAGACCTTTAACAGGGTCAGAGGGATCCATCTGAGTGCTGCCTTCCTAAACATTTAGAATAATATATTTCTGTGTTAGTTGGGCAATCATTCTGTTCTTTTTACATTTTAAACTTGTCACAGTACACAGTACAGGCGCATGTCATAGACGTACAGTAATGTCTCTTCCTGGAAACCCAGCCTGCGTAGAAGTCTTCGGCGATCTAGGGCAGGGTCTTTCGGCTTGGCAGAGGTCACCACTGGGAATAGTACACTGTGGGCTAGGAGCCTGTGAGCTATTAGCCGAATATCAGCAGGGGCAGAGCAGTTACTGTAAATACACCTGTGTTTACCATTTACAGTGCTGAACTACGGTATTACTGATATGAAATGTAAAAGCTAAGCTTGTGTGAGAGACGAGCTCATAGCCAGGAGGCAAACCTGTCGGTTCAGACTCCCACTAACTTATTCCACAGGAATATATTAAATTAAAAACCAGGTTTCAGGGCTAAATTTAAGAAGGATGACTTCATGGAGAGAAAAAATTAGAGGAGCAAAGATATTAAAATTTTAATCTCTTGAGATTCCTCCTACGAGATAGACAGCAAAGAGGTGTATCCGAGCACTTCTTACAATTGCCTCAAGCTTAAGGAACTGAAAGCAATATCTAAGCTACAATAAGAAGGTATTAAACTTAACAGTGAAATAACCTTTATAATTGTTTGCAGATCTTTTAAATCTCCATTTTAACTCTAAACATATTTTATCCCATTAATGCAGAATGTACCTGCTGCGGATTAGTTAAAAGATCAAAGTTTTGCGAAGGCAAAATAAAGAAATGTGATTGCTTTCTATAAAAAGCTTATTAATGTAGGTTGAATCCTTTTCAATTTTTCATTTTGAATGTGGGTCTTAGGAAGTTATCTAAATATGTGAACGTTCCCTTCACTGCCTGTAGCATGTGTTAGAGGTCCAGCTTTCTCAGGGCTTCTCTTTAGCGCCATGAAATGACTGCACTGTTAGACAAGCCCTGGAACCTTGATAATGCTCATTCTTGTTTTTTTCCATTTTGCAATTTAGTATTACTGGTTTAATAGTAAATAGTTGAATCCTACAACACTTGCAGTCGAGACTACACCACAAGTTCACTGTAGTCCGATAAGAAAAATAAGTCACTATTGTGCTTAAAATAAATGATAATGAGACCAATTCTTAGTGGATGCTGAGTACTTCTGCAACTTCTGTACTGCACAGAGAGAGGTTAATGACCTGTGGACATTATTCACTGACAGCCACCTGTCACACCCATTTATATATATATATAAACACATTTTTTTTTCATTTCACTGACCTCATTTGGATTCAGCAATTGTGTGTTTTTCCTTATCAGCTACAAACCCTGCAAACGCAGACGGGGGGAGAAGCAGGAAGTGTGGACAGACTCCTCCCATCTGCTCATGTTCAAGCCCCTCCCCCCTTTAACACAGCACAGGCACCACAGCTGAATGCTGGGGCTACAGCACCAGTCAGAAGAGGGGTGCATTCCTCAGCAACAACAGCACTTGCCCTCTGGGCTACAAGCATCACTTTATTGCTGTGAGAGCTCTGGCCGACTAACTCCTCCCTTCCGTGGTCAACATGAGCAAGACTCCGACCTGTGATCACAGAGCTCAGTCTGAGATCAGCTGAACCGCTTGGGAGGCCTCTGGATCTTTCATCTTCTTACACGCCGCATGTCACATGGCACCTCACAGGAGAGTTGGGCGAATTACTCATTTTGCACTGATGTCACTGTAAACATGTAGGGGCTCAGCAAGCCACGAAAGTCACTGGTTCACCCATCTGACAAATATCTGCCCTGGTGTCACTCTGCTGCCTTGGGAGTCCCTGGCACAAAAAAGGTCCGATCCACCCTGCTTCATCCACATCGGAAAGACAGGTCATCATCGAGGACCATTAAAGTCCATTTACAGTACCACAAGTCAAGCTCAAGGTCCAAATCTGAAATCCAATCAGCAGAGAAGTTGAAAAAAGCTTTCAGACAAGATTTCTTCATATCATTCTTAGCTGAATTAGAATTTTGGAGCAAAAGTGTTTTTCAGACTGCTTTGCATTATAACAGTGATAAAAGTAATTCCTAAGAAAAGAAAGGTTTTCATGGAAACGAAGACTTTGACTCAATACTCTCTGTAATGAATAAGTTATAATCTTGAGAGCAGTGTGGTTTGTGAGCAATATTCTCTCCCTAATTTACTTTGCTTCTCTCTGCTCTCATACTTTAAACAATTTTTTGTTTCATGTTGTGAATTTGTCTGCTACTAGGAAATGAAGCACAAGCACATAGAGACTTTGACCAGTCTCAGTGGGTTTTAATGTACAGTATGTTAGTGAATAAATAAAAATAGGTAGATACCCTTTTCAATGTATTGGGGATTGTTTATTTTGGTCACCGTGCTGATTAATGATAACTATGAGTACAAGTTAGAAAGTTTGAACAGATTAACGGAGCTTGGACAGTTACAATGTTGTTTCCCAGTGAAGAAAAACCATTACTGAACCATACGGTCCCCTGCAATGATGGCTTACTGTGCTACAGATACATTATCTCGGTCATTGTCAATGAGTCTATTGATTTCAATTTTGAATTTTGAACAACTGAGAGATCCTCCTGCACCAAAGATAATTAGTTCTATTGTTTCATATACTCCAAGCCAGTGTCTTCAAAATGAATCCCAATGCAAGCATAAGGAAAAAATAAGGGGTCAGCCTAAATATGACCTACAAATTTATGATCTCTGGTTTTAAAATTATATGAACCTTCAAAATGTTCAGTATGGTTTGGGCATCGATGCTACGTACTGTACACCTCTGACTACAACTGGATATGCTTTATCCAGCCATATCTACTCATTGTGACTATAGTTGCCAACTTTTCACTCTTCTAACAAGTATGTAATTTAGCAAGGATTCCCAGATTATTCGAGCGTCATGGCACCATTCTTCTTACGGTAATAAATGAACAACTTGACTTCCTCCTTAAACAGTCTGTAACCAGGCATCATTTGCATTAAAACTGTTTAATTTACAGTATCATTCACTGAGCTAAAGTACATTATACAACAAGTAAGACAACTTCAAAACACCTCTAGGGAAGCTCATGATAAACGGAAATCTGAAAAACAAGATTCTTTGTGTCTCAATTATGTTTCTTGCGATGATGTGAAGAAGGCAATTCGGGAAGCTCATCAATCTTCAGTGACATAGGGAATAAATTCACACACAAATTTAAGAAACAGCTGGGAAGTGAACTAATTCTGTACTTCTAGCAAAAAGCAAAAACAAATATTAACATTATCTATCACGGACAGCTTTGAATCCCACTTACATTCAACTCGGAGAAAGTGAATTATAGCCAGGCTTTAAGCGCACACTGTTTTATAAACACACAGGTGGAATACCACATTTAGAAAACCTCCCTAAATGTCATCTTGACAAATTCTTCAGCTGGGGCTTGTGAGGTGAAAGCATTTATCATGACTCATCTAGGTTTAATGGAAAATAATACTTTTCAGTTCGGTGTTTACTAAATGCTTGCCTAAAGTCTTCTGTCAAAATTAATCATTTATGGTGTTGGGTACAAAACGAAGATTTTGTACATGACTGGTTTAACATTGTGTATATATATACAGGGGCTTCAAGCAGGGACAGACCACAGGTTTAGTCCACTGTGCTAACAGTGACGTGTCAGAATTATGGGAGGAAGTAAGACCCATGAAGTGTCCACGAACAGGAAGTGACCAGAGACCCCAGCAGCACTGTTTGCATCGTACAAGGTCAGGAGCCTGAACGAGACAGGCGCCCTGCTCTTTCTTCAGTTGTCATTAAAACTGCTCCTAGCGTGACAGTGCGTTCTGCTGAAAACACACAGAAGAAGATGTCCTTGTGCTTGACAGCATGAGAGCGCTGGTGGCGATGGAATATCTCGGAAATCAAAAAGCTCTTATGCGTTTTGCCAAAATTTGTTCAGATTTAATTGTTTGCTTCATTAGCTAAGTGAGCATTCCTGCTGCCTCTCACAGCAATCGATTACACAACAAAGGAAACTGAAGAGCCACTTTGTGAGCCATAGCTATACAATAATCTCGAATTAGCGTGCAAGGGATAGTTAAAGACTGTCTGGGAGTGTATGTAGAATACATTATGTCATGCACATGGGGGAACTGTCCAGAGGTAAAGCTTGTGCAATTCCTCCTACACACCCATAGAAGTTGTTTAGTGTAAATCAGCCATTCAAATCAACATCCAATCTAGCAAACAATCTATGGTGATGTTGAAAAACATACAGGATGATGACACAGAGCTTTTATTTTTGGAGCAGAAAATGTTGGAGGTGTTTATACGCAGCGCAGAGGGTTTGTCAGTGTTGCAACACAAAACATAACACTGATGTAAAAAAATGTGATACCCACTATTGTCCTACTGGAACAGTGAACAGTGTGACCCCCCCCGGGAGCAGGAGCCGGGAGGACTTACCCTCTTGCGGAGGTTGCAGGTGAGGATGAGATTGCGGGAGAAGGAGTTGGCGAAGGCGGTGTAGAACTCCAGCACCTTCAGCAGGGCCTCCCTCTTGATGATGTGCAGGTCGCAGTAGGTCAGCGCCCTCACGTTGGCACAGGCGTGGGCCAGGGTGGTCTCCTTCCAGAACACGTCACCGAAAACATCGCCCTTTCCTAGGTGGGGGTGAACAGGAGAATAGGCAGCGTCACCCATGACCACCCTCTGAGACAACATGGAAGACGAGCCCTGCTGTCTGAGGTCTGAGCAGTGGCAAATCTCGTGTTGCCCCTGAACACTCTAGATTCACTTAACAATATGATCATTGTCAGCAACACTTTAACAGCTGAACAGGATTGATTAGCTTTTGCTTCTTTTTTTAGTCTACTGTACAGTAGGTGGTGTTTTCAGCCCTGCTCCACTTCCTGGTGAATTGTCATATTTCTAATAATCTACATGCTGATCGGCTGACTGCTTTTATCAGAATATGTGTGCAAACACTGTGTGAGCGATCTATTTTTATTATAAATAGAGCACAGATTGGGCTGCAAAGTCCTGAAGTCAACAGATGTGACTCATTGTGAATCCAGTGTTGACCGCCGTAAAAATCATGTGACATTTGTTGTGGTTACAAAAAGGTAATGGAGCTAAATAACCATTATTGTAGATGAATAGCTTGATCCATATCACATATCAAATAAATTGGTCTTTATAAACATTTACGTTATTTAATGTTCATAAAGAAGGTCCATATTTCAGCTTTTCAGAAAATGACTTTCATGAGTGATTAGCCTATGCTGAAATTAATGTGTGCACTGAAATGAAAGGGAAATGTGCCGATTCTTGTTTTGCAATTAATGCATCATTAGAGACAGCCTTGCCTCCTTCTAAGTTTTATCTATTGGTTTAAAAAATGCTGAAGAAATGACGTGTGACAGTCTTCTGTGCACATGCTTCCTCCATAGCTGAGTCTCTCAATAGTGAGTCTTGGGAATCTTAGACAAAAATATAATTTACAAAATATACAGTACATGCCCTGAGCACCAACAATTAACTCAATATCTTGATCTGTTTCCTGCTATGTTAACACTTTATACTGTTATCAGTTTATCTTAGGGTAAGGAGAAATCAAATTTGTTATTTAGCAAACCTTCACATTGCTAATAATTGTCAAAAATGGGATCACAACCACTCAAGGTACACCATACATGACCAGCCAAGGTGAAGTGCTGTAATAGCTAATCTCAGAATACATTTAGTTGTATTTCTGGCCCTCCGACAATAATCACATTAAGCAGCACATTATCTAAACTAGCTACCACTATTTTATTTCTTAAGACTCTTATTTTCTCATTGTATATCACATATTCATACACACCTGTGACTCAGTTCAAAAGTAACACCTATACAGTATGAGACTATCAGGGAGAGAGACCCAAGTTTAAAATTCTGAATGCAAGTATTGCTACGCACTGATTCACCAGTCTGGTCCATGAGGCGGCTGTTGGTGTTGTACATGGTTATCTCAGTGTGTCCACAGACACTGCACTGGGCACGATGTGTCAGGACACACCAGTACCTCTCCTATGTTGTGCTAGCAGAAGGCATTGTTTGTGTCTTGGAAATGTACACTGATTTTTTTTTTTCATCTCATTGTTTTTGAGACTGACAATGTCCTGTAGCACTTTGCTGCATATATTTAAGAGCAAACAACTATTATTCAAACAGTACTGTGTACCTAGTGTATACAAGCTCCTTATAGCCTGTTCTTGTCATATGTCAGAAGCTGGGCCTGGACGGTACAGGGATGGGAGACTCCAAAGAAAACCAAAGGTGCTGCTGTAAGTGAGCTGGATAAACCAGTAGAGGGCGCACTTCCTTCTGGACCAACGACCAAGTATAGTGTAGCTACAGGGGACTCTATGCTGTAGGATTAGTTAGTCATGATACCACTGCACTACAGTATGTGGAACAGTGGGAGTATTAACAGTGGTGTCCTGACCAAATTCTACTCTGGGATTGGACAGTCTGGCCCTGCTGAAGTTGCCCATTAATTTAACCGGTGCAGAGATTTTTTATTATTATTATTATTATTATTATTATTATTATTATTATTATTATTATTATTATTATTTCTCACTGCTCTGCCTGATCAGCTTTGCAGTAGGCTGCTGGTGCAGAATGACTGCTGCACATCACCAGGTGGGCACTGCACTTCTGAGGGGAATGAAGTGAAGTGGGTCCCCCCTGTATGTGGGGGATCTTCTGGGATAAATGCAAGGAATTATTATTAATTATTATACAATAACATAATACTCTCTGACCTGCAGTTTGGTAAAGAATCATCTGGTTCTGCACATAAAGGTAGGAGTATAATAGTCTTGACTGAAAATCACTGTAATCATAAAAGAAATGGCATCTTAACCTTACTATTTTATTTCTTTTAAATGTGCCTTACTGGGAGACAAAACAAATGTTAATAGCTGTGACTCCACATACACAATAAGCAGAGCAAGAGAGAAAAATAAAAGTTATAAACACAAGTCATGTTCCTGTATCTCTTTCTGGATCTTATTCAAAGCCATTAATTTTGGAGCGATTACTACTGATCTGCCTCGTGTCAGCATTCTACAGAAATTACAAATCACCTAAATGAATCTCCAGCAGGGCAGATGAAGGCACAGTCAGCTTAACTTTTTCCAGGACATATATATATATTGATTCCTCCTTACAGAACTGGCATTTCCTTAATGATTTAAAAAAAAAAAACTTGGCTGTTCGAGGTTAACTTTCATGGTTAAAAGTGGTAGTTAAGAGAGTCTGCATTTATCTGTCTTAATTTCACACATATAGCTGTGTAATGTCAGCACTTCTGTGAATAAATCTGAAGGGACTGTTTCTTACACGTACTGTACATTTGTATCTGTTCTTATAAGTGATAGAAAGGAAAAACATGAGTGCTGACAGGAAGAAAGAAGATGTGCACAGGCCAAGATGAGTTTGGGATAGAGCTTGCCACAGCACCACTCTTCCATATTCTGATTTACAGTTCTCCTGTAAAATGGATCACTCTGAAATAGCTGATACAGTTTCAATTAGACTCCAAGCTATAATATAATGTGGCTTTTGCTGACTGCTGTAGAACCACAGACGGATTACATCTGGCATACCAGAAATAATTAATTTAATAGCTTTATATAGCTGTAGGTTCCAGACATCAAATCAAGAGAAAACTAAGGGCCGACTTAAAACCAGACCGAAACTGCTTATAACCTTACTGAGATGAGATCCCTCTACAGTATTCATAAGTAAAGAAGTACAGTCTTGCGTTAGAGAAAACTTTCCTCTCCTTTCAAGGGTTAATTTAAAAATGTACAAATGCAAATGAATGAGAACTCACAGAACTTGCGTTTCCTTCTCAATGACACATAATCACTGCTGAGTCATCAGGAAATAGCAGACATATCCATCGAATCTGCACCTCTGCCTCTGGCTCACTAATCCAAAACACAGCTGTCCTCTTTGCAGTTTGCAAAGTGCTGCAGGTTCATCTGCATCGCTTGTGGGACGTGACTGAACCACAGAACTTGCAGGAGATGCGAGAAGTGATGTTCCAGTGTGAATAATGTAAGGTTTGATCTGGCCAGATTGGAAATTTAGTTTCAGCTCAGTACATGCTGAGGAAGAGAGACACCTTTTGTCTGGAATATTGGTCACTAATGTCCCATCACTGACAGCCATTTTCCAGCTACAATCATTGTCTGCCTGAACTTACTGCAATCATTAGCCCTGTGCTATTTGGAGATCTGAGAAGTAAAAACCTGGTCAAAAGGTCTATTGGATCAGTTCAATTTATCACGGATTTAACAAACCTATAAAGACAGGGACCCTCACAAAACAGCTGCAGGGAATCCAGATTTAAGTCCAAAATGAACAAGCAGTGTAAAAAATGTCATTGTATAATGTACCGTATATTATGTTGGTTCTGAATACAGGGGAGCCTCTCTCCCCTAAACATGACATTTACAGTAAGTTACAGTAGATCGGAAGGGGAAGAAACCTTTTCGCCTGTCTGTGTTTATCCCTCTGAAGAGGCCTTTTTTAATGCATTTTAAAACTCTGTTGATTGTTGATCTATGCCGTGACTTCTTGCATCACTACAGTAGGATACAACACAAGAGCAAGATTCATCTACTATCGCCCACATACGATTGCCCAGCATAGCAAGAGCCATAAATCATACAGAAGTAAATCTAAAAGCAGTTCACTGTTAGCAATGTGCGTATGTGTTTCCTCACAACCAGGACATTCCATATCGACTCGTCCCTCACATTGAGTTCGGATAATTCTTCCAAGAGAGCCGGCCTCTGTTTAGACATGGTTTGTGTATTGATGCAGAGCCCTTAAATTACTTGTTTACTGTGGGACAGGACACACAAAGACATATATCTAACCCAAACCACAGTTTGGAATGGGAGATGGACAGGATCAATGAGATCGATGACAAGAGCTGCGGCTTTCCTCAAGGGCTCTGCACATGTCTGCTTTGATGTTTAAGTGTTTCTGAGGCCCCAGAAGTCTGCCTTCTCCAGAGGGGACAGCACATGTCCATAATGTGCATGATGTCACGAAGGAATTCCTTCTTACAGCAAGTTTCCTTCATATATCCCATTTCCTTAAACCATGAATGCAATCGGTGTATAGGAGAAATAAAGGTTTTTTTTTAAGTGACAATTCTTGAAGTGTCCTGATAAACGCAAGAAGTGGATGATTTCATTTAAAACAAATCTACTCCCTTAGCATTTATTAAGCTGTAAAACCACATATTTAGATCAAACGATTTAAACAGATAAAACCACCAGCAAAAGCAGTGAACAACTTTTAGTGTAACTCGTTGGGAAAGAGAAACTTCAAACCAGTTTTCATCTCCAAGTTACGTGTGGAAAGAAGTGGCAGAATCAGTGCAGCCACAGTGGCCCTAATAAAACCCTATTTAAATCGCTTTACTGCCTCAATCTTCATATCCACCTTAAATTATAATGGCAATTGTAATTTAAAGATTAAATTAATCTTCTAATAGCGGATATCTCAGAGAAGAATCACTTTATGGACTGAGTTAGGATTAGGGTTCTCTAATTCTGCATATTTTTGCAATTTGGAGTTATGATGACTTATTTTTCATTCTCAGCACAGCAGTAATTGAAAGACGAGGGACATGTTCTTGGCATCTGCCTACGAGACCACAGAAACGTTTCAGGTCCCGGAAGAGTATCGCCCGTTACAGACTGCTGACAAATTATCAGTTTGCTTCATTAAGAAAGCCTGACTGCCATTGTTGTGGCAATTAAATGCTTTATCACACAGCAATCATGAAATGAGAGTACAAAATTATGAGCTGTTAATTAAAGACACCGAAGAAACAGTAACGTTAAAGGATCGTCTTACAAAAGAACTGATTTCTCTTCCAAAGCAGAGTTTATTAAATCAAAATATGATAAAGGAAATTTTTATTTATAAATACAAACCAGAAATTGAGTGGCTTATTGCCAGATAAAGGCGAATCAAATTCTTATTCTTAAAACAGCAGTCTGCAGGGTTAAAAAGTCCAGTACTTGACTACAGCAGCTTGAAAAACTGAGCAGGGGAAACGTTTAAGCATTTAGAGTAGCCTAAGCAAAAAAAGTGCTTACTTACAACCATCTTCAATATAGCCATTGAAAGCTTCGAATTGATATAATAACATTTTATTTAAAGAACTAACTGCGGAGGCATTCTCACACTTTAACATCTTGCAAACACCAACTAGATCCTTCTGCCTGTTCCACAGTTTTACCGAAACATTAAAGCTCTACTCGAGCTGTTTTGCTGCCATTGTTGGAGAGGGTATAAAAACGGCTGGGCGAGAGGTGATGTGGTCGGCTGCTTTTCAGCAGAGCCCTTGGACAGTCTGGGAGACTCACTCTGGGACCCTGATCCTTGGCAGTCGGCTGCCGCAGCTGTAACTGGGTAACCGTGTGTGAGACCACATTTTCCCACAGCTGCTGTACACAGGCCCTCCTGAGAACCATGGCCCCAGAAATGCATGCCTCGTATTCCGGCAGGGCAGTGGACGTGCATTCTGGTTTGCCTCCCGTAGAAGCAGCCCAGAAGGAAAGCAAGAGAAAAGGGAGGGTAGCAACATGGTAGCACAAGTCCCGTGATCAGAAGTGGATCTGCTTAGCAAAGCAGGAGCAGAACGAGCGTGGAGAACTGTTCAATCATCACATCAGTTTTCCCTCACGGGATCAATAAAGTGGGGGTACTGGGGACCTGCAGTGCTGTCTGTGTGGAGTTTGTATGATCTCCCAGTGTTGGTGTGGGTTTTCTCTCACAGTCCAAAGACCTGCTGATAGGTTATTGGCTCTGGGGAAGACTGGCCTTGGGCTGAGTGTGTGTGTTTGCCGAACAATGGACTAGCGTCCTCTCCAGGGCGTACCCCGCCTTGCGCATGTTGCTTGCTGGGATGGAACAGGCTCTGGCTCCCCTACAACCCTGAATGGGATGAAGCAGCTAGAAAATGGATGGATAGATGAGCGGAAAGACATGTTAGTATTAATTTGCTATTCTGTTTTAAGAGTTCTGTTCATCTTGTTCCATGCAGACAACAACTCCCCTTCATTTTCTGGGATTTCCTGGCGAGTGCACAACGATTCTGGATTTAAGGTGCTTCTTAGAGCAGCAGCCCTGCTGTTCATCTCCAGTCTGTCAGCCCCTTAAGGCTCCTGGGGCCAAGATGACTGAATTAAACGATCGCACAATTAATCCCTCGGGTGCTGGCATCCACACAATTACTGCTAATGAGACTGCTGGGCCTCCCAGAGTATAGCAGGACATGTAATAGAATACATTAAATATTTTGATTTATGCCCAGGGTTTCTACAAAGTTCAATCGAATATGCCTTTATAAAGGTTTAAATTGCAATTTGTTTTATTTTTTACATTATTGAGAAACGGTGGTATGGTGGCACTGTGGTTAGCATTACTGCCTTGCAGCACTGGGGCGATGGGTCCAAATCCACACCTGGGATGCTATCTGTGTGGAGTTTGTTTGTTTGTTTGTTTTTCCCTTGTTTGTGTGTGTTTGCTCCAGGTGCTCCGGTTTTCTCCCACAGTCCAAGAACATTTTGGTAGGTTAACTGGCTCCTGGTAAAATCAGCCCTGTTGGGAGTGTGTGCATGTTTTGTGTCTGTGTCTGTTTGCCCTGCGATGGACTGGCATCCCATCCAGGGTGTATCCTGCCCTGCACCCATTACTTACTGAGATTGGCTTCAGCTCCCCTGTGACCCTGACTTGAAAGCACTTAATGGATGGAGAGATGGATGGTATTCAACAATATTTATAGAAATGTACTGATACAGCAAATGAACAGTCGAAAGGGATTTGCAAGTTGGAAGAAACTAGCTTTTGATTAAAAATAAAAACTATCTTCTTGATATGTGTGATGACGACTTTTAACCTGTTACTGCAGACGAAGGAACTTCTTTCTGGAAGTTCGAGACCCTAGAACTTATAACTTTGCCTGAGAGCTAAGGAAAAGGATTATTTTTGGGACAACGAGATTAATCTCAGTTTTGGGAGAACGGAGTGAAGATTTGAATTTCCGCTTTAATGCAGCAGACAAAATCAGGGGTGCCATAGGTTTGGAAGACTCCCGCCACTCACCCAGGATGGCGATGACCTCGTCGTCCTGGATGACTTCCAGGGAGCCCGACACCACGAAGCACAGCGTGTCCACACTCTCGCCAGCGTGGTAGATGAGGTCCCCAGGAGCGCAGTGGATGGTCTGGAACTCCACGGCCAGCGAGCGCAGACAGCCGTCGCTGGCCAGCCGGAAGGCAGGGTGCTCATTGAAGACCTTGCGGTTGAGGTGCACGCAGATGTCAGCCCGCATGTCCTTGGGGCAGATAGACAACACCTGGAGGGGAGAGGGGTAGGGGAATAGATCATTGCACATCAAGCTCCAGTGAGGAAACAGGCACTGCAGCAGCCAAACAGAACTCTTTCCACACTGTCAATACCATTCAAGTATCAGTGGTGTTGCTTCTTGAATGCAGGGGACTGCTGTAATGAAAGCGTTCTTTCGGGACCCTATGCAGACGACACAATCCAGGGATGAGTGAGGAAAACACGGGGAAAAAAGCATGCAGGGGTCAGGAATGAAAACAGGGGGCGTGTCCACAGTGCACAGGTGTTCTGGGGGGTGAGTCCGGGGCAAACAATCCAAAACAGAGAGGAATGGGAAATCCAAGACGAGGCAAAAGTCCAAAGCTAGGCAGTCCATCCGAGACGAGGACAAACAGGATTAAAAACCGGAGCGGGATCCGGTGGAGGGAAGAAGGGGGGAACAGGACCAGGCGCTCACGATCCCGGACTCGCTTGGTACGGGAACCAATGCAGAGCCCAGAACAGAGTGAGCGTCTGGCTTAAGTAGGGAGGCAGGAACAGGGGGCAGGTGCACAAAATCAACACGGAAGTGAAAGGACCGGAGCGCCCTTAAGGGGGAGGGACTACAATCGTGACAACTGCTTCTTTGCAAGTTTATATGTACAAACATAATTTAGACTTTTAAAGGCAAATGTTGAATTTAATTCAATCGTTAAGTGTTTGGTTAAGGTGTAAACCAGAAGATCCTACAATCCCCCAGGATCAGGAAAAAGTAATTGACAGCCCCATTCATTTGAGCCATTTGAGTCTGCTTTTCATTTCACTGGGCTATTAGGCAGAGGTCTAAAGAGAACCCATTTGTTCTTCACGTATCTAGTACTTCCCTTTACATTTCAGCCCCAGGAAGTGTCCCAGGACGAGAGACCATACAGCACCAGATGTTTTAGTCAGAAACAGTGTCTCTGTCTTTGTTGATGTGACAGATGACAGCACAGCAATCTCCATTTGCAAGATGATTGCAAGGACCAGACAATTAAAATACTTTCACCTTGACAACTTTATTAAAACACACAAAACACAGGAGTGAAAAGGGATTTAGGTCACTTATTAATGCTTCCTTTATGAACTCTACAGAGCATACAACTCCACGGAAGCAAACAACACTAAACAACATCACAAAAGCAGCATCTTCTGAACCCTGAAAAGAAAATCGATACAAAAGGCAATTTCTTCCTACTTAGAAAACTTGCAAAATAATACGTAGGAATGTTGCCAGCACTTTTGTGATGCAGTTTTACATTTATGCGCTGCCATTCAAATTGGCGGCATGAAGGGATTTACTGTGTTTTTGTCATGGCAGTAGAGGGCTGTCAGAGTGGTGGAACAACAGTGACAAGCCCACGGGGCTGAGAACATAATTAAAGCACAGAACACGCCACCCAAACCTTTCTCCTTTCGGTAAATACATCCTGAGAAATAAAGACGTCTCTGTTTATGATAAAGCATAACAGCTCCTTCCAATCATAGATTGCAGAGATTGCTGAGCTGTTCGTCACTGTGAGATGCTGTGGGTTGAAGGGAAGTGAAACCAGGTGAAATCTACTCCTGAGTCCCACTGACAGGCACATCCAGCAAGGAGAAAGCCACCAGAGCTGGAGGTGCAGTGGGGATTAATCACACACTAGAGTTCAGGCAATGGACTTTAATGGACTCTCCCACCTCCACACACACTGCCATGTGCTGAGCTCCCTTAAGGAATCTTCTGTCTCCGTTTTTGCCTGCACATTCAGGCCACGTAACTACTGGCACCCCCGTCTCTGGCAAGTGGAATACACTTGCTTATTCTATTGCTTATAACTAGAATAGTGTTCTTTAAACCACGCTGATTTGATGCTAGAATCTAAGTTTGGTATATTCAACCTAAGATGTTGTAGTTAAAAGTTCTGAGCTAAACTAGAAAATGTGTGAATTTTGTGTTATTTCTACACCTACTGTATGTAGAAATGCAGAGAATAGTATTCACTACCTACAGTACATCTTAGATCAATTAGATCGATAGAAATATGATATTATCATCAAATAAGTACAGGTTAAGAAACAAAATAAATGTTTTAAAATAAAGTGAATATCACTATTGGAGATATACTTTCACAGAAATTGTACTGGCACTTTTTTTCATTTTCAAACAGCTTTCCTGCCTAAAGCTATTTTTGGCACAGCTCGTCTTTTTTCCCCTAATGTTCCAAATTATTTGTGCAAACAAGCAGTCCTTTCTGCAGAAATTAAGTACATTAAAAAAAAAATCCTCCTAAGAGATAATTCCTGCCAGGAGTTTGAATATAAAAAGAAAGTCCCCGGCACAGTAATTTCTTTAAATTATAAACTCTACATTAAACGTCGCTACTGAAAGCAGGTTAATGCTTTTCTCTTTTCACATGCAAATCGAGAACATTACAGCCGCCACACATTACAGATTTCTGTGGAGTTTTCACATTTTCACCCTCCTCTCACAGCTTCGACATAATTATTCTGAAATCTTTTATCACCTCACAGGAGCAATCAAGGAAACCGCTGTGACGCTGTGCTTGAAACCCATAAACTGAACCCTACGTTCTGGAGGCCCCAGAAGCTTCCTACCCCCAAGTCTCTCTTCAATCACTATTACGTTTAGGTTCATGAATTCATTTTGAGTTTTAATTGTTTTTCTTTACATCTCAGCTGGAGTGGATTAGCTATGCAGTGTTGCTTGATTGATGGATTATAGATTCATAATGCACTAGAGAAACAACAGAAGCACAGAGCTCCACACATCTTCTGCCATGGGCTTAATGAATACGGGTGTAATTAAAACTCTACTGGATTACTTAAAGAAAGCTAAACATCTCTGCACCTTTTTAAAGAATTGTGTGTGTGTTTTTTTAAGTATTGGGTTTTGAAAAATATCCAATAAAACTGCTCTGTTCCAAAGTCTGTCCAATGGGTTTGTTAAATCACAGTGGAATACGACTAAATGCTATTAGAAATGTCAAATAATGTGTGCTAATCTATTACAGGACATGGTCCTAACATTTCCTTTCGTTGTTCAACATAACTCACAAAGGACAAGGGATCTATCAATGAAAATAATCAAGAGGAATTTACTGACATGGCAATTTTCCCCCTCTGCAAATAAAGCTCTGCAAATACCTTCCTACCACCACAGAGCAGGACTCCCAGTCATTACTGAAGAAAGAGCTGATGCTCACAAATTCAACTGGTTTACTGATGTCCAAAACATACATTTACAGCTTTGTATATTGGTCACTGTGTCTAAAGGGAGAGAAAGCCGTTAAAAATGTAATATAAATGCAGTTACTACTGGACGCTAGGTGGTGATGAAATTGCCTGTCATTGCCAATATATGTCCAATCACACTAGATCTGTCAGCTTCATTTTTTTAACCCAGTTAGAAAGAAACTGGGTTACGTCTGAGAGCTCTTAATGCACCTCTGAGACTGGCACAGGCTGGCACAGACTCTGCAGGGTGTAGGTCTGGACTGCGAGGGATCGTCAGCGCTGCACACACCTTCTCCGTGTCGATGCCTTTCGACATGGACCAGGTGGACACGATGTAATCCATGACGCGCTCGCTGAGGCCCTTGGGCACCTGGTACAGCTTGAGGAAGTCCCGCACGTTGTTGAGCATCTCGTGGTACCGGTTGGTGTTGGCGTACATCTGCTGGAAGATGGTGGTGACATTCCCAAAAATTGTTGCATACAAGAGAGCTAAAATAAACCAAAAAGAAGCAAGAATAAGCATATTACTGGGCCCACTGGGATATGTGTTGAACGGAGTGTTTTAGGGAATAGAGACTATACAATAGGAAATGGCTACGGCAGTTAATAATCAATAAACTACCAGTTAACCCACAAATACATAAACGCCAGTTTATGGCACCCCAGTGTTCAAATCTCGACTAATTTAGATCCAGTCTGAGTTTCTCATACAAATGAGAAAGTTCAAGGGCAAGCCTAATTGGCTCATAGCCCAGTGCATTCTGGGGGTATGTAGTCTCTTGCGAAGAGCAGTAAATTCTGCACTCCGTTTTAATTCTAGAATCTAGGTTAAAGAACCTGAAATGACTTGGCTCCACTGTGTGAATAATGCTCAGACTACAAAGCAGAACAGATTATTGAATCGTCACACTGTATTTTAGGTATTAGGAAAATACAAATGATAAAACATGCAGACATGAGCTTTTTAACAAATTCACATATGAGGCGAGGTTTATTTGACAACCGCTGTAAACCAGGTTCAAAAATAGCTGAGTCTATTTATCTGTTTACAGAATATAACATGGCAATTTAGAGGATTTGGGATGCTTTCACTTACTTTCACTTTTATTTTTTAAATCTGTGCAGTTTATTCGCTGCTCCTGTTTTAGTGTATACTGCAAAAAAGGCGGAAAACTGGGTGAGTTTATTCTCAACCTTTCCAACACTGTTTTACTGACAGATATAGACACAGCTCCCCCGTGCAACGTTGCCATAGGAACGTGACCAAAAATAGTTCTTAAAATAATTCAGTCATTTTCTTACAGGGAAGAGGAACAATCTGAGACACAGCTTTAGGAGGCAGCTTTGGCACACCAGCAGGACCTTAAACCACTGAACATGATGCAAGCAATTAACTGTTTTGGGGAATTAATGTCATGCTGAGCTCATTAGAGCTTGGCAAAGGGAGTGGGCAAAATTTGCTTAGATTTTGTTTTTCAGGGAGGAGGGGTTATCATGAGAAAAAAAAAGTAATCTATTCCCAGCTACTCCCTCTCAAGTTACTACTAATCTTCAGGCACTCTGTCTTTTGCTGGCAGGTCTAACTGCAGCCAAAACACATCTCTCCGACCGAGCTGGAAGGAGAAAGGAGAGTCAGAGAACTCCTAGCCTGCGCTTGGTTGCACTCGTCGCAGTCATTGTTCTCATGGAAAGAAGTGATTAGGTCACATTTCACTAGTGCAAGAACTGACGATGCAGTCAGACACTTCTCCTTAGCTCCAAAACCTGCTTAATTAGGGCCCCCTTTTCCTTCTTCTCTAAGCCTATGGGCTCCTGTTTTCTTTGCAAGTGCCTTTGTATCTGCTGTCTGTATCTGTTTTCTTCCTGAAGCACTAATACAAAATGTGTCCAAAAAGCCATCTTGAGCATTTCTTTCTATTTTCTTTGTAACCATCTGATTGCATCACCCTGTTCTCCAGCCTGCTGTCGGTGCAGTGGGCTGTACAGGGTATTCAGCAGAGAGAGACTGAGAGCTGGCACCAGGCTTTGACGTGGGTCATCAGAGCCAATGTACAGCACCGCTGGGTTAAGCCAGTCTAGGATTGCCACAGCCAACTGTATAACAAATAATGGCTCAGCTTGTGCCAGTCGGATCACTTTCATTTTTTTAAACATGCACTCGATGAGAACAATTATCTACAGCACATTGTGACAACTAGTCTCACACTTGCACTTAAAAATATAATTATGATACACTAATACTGCTTATTCCTGGTAGCAAAGCAAAACCTAGTATAGGTGGGTACAAGGTGGGACTATACCATGGATGGGAAGCCAGTCCATTGCAGAGCAGACTGGGAGACACTGACTCATTCAAGCACAGCAGAGAGGTGCTGATTGGCCTTCCCAGCATGGCTGGGAAGTGGGACGAAACTGGAATACCGAGAGAGAAGCCGCACAGATCCAGGGAGAACATGCAAACTTCACACATAAGACCTCCTTTGCCCTCATCACACCCTAGACCTAGAGCTGTGAGGCAGCTGACTTCCTGGTGAGGCAATGTGCTTCTGTAGCCGCAACAGGCTGCATAGGACTA